TATATATATAAAGGGGGTCGGACGCTATCCAGCTGTGCCTGGAGCGGCAGCTGTCCATGGGAGCAGAGCGAAGAGAGGATCCTAATGTCACACAGCATCATCTAAAACAGCCTCTGAATGCACCGGGGCAAATGGGGCAGAACTACAGTATTGCCTCATCCACCTTCATGATAACACACACTTACACGCACAGAACTTGAGGACAAAGTAGAGATCTTCATGTCTGGGAACAAGAGAGGTTAGCAGAAACAGCACATAGTTTTGGATTCAGCTGCTGACTTTTTTATGTTTAATTCTGCTGAGGATGTGAGTTTGTGGCCGGGCTTGTAATCTGTAAAAGCACGAGCCCTCAGGGTTTTTCTGTTTCTTTCAGCGTGAGCGCCAACATTTTCTGCATGAGAAAAATGTCTAAATTAATGAGAGGAGATGCAGCAAACGCTCCTCTTTCTAGCTCTCTTTGTTTTAACGGGTTCGTTTGTTTGTTTTAGCCCTCGTTTTAACTCAAACTAAAGATTAAATTTGTCGTTTACCTCCTTCATTTCCTGCTGGATGTCCCTCAGAGAGACGAGGACCTGCTCCAGGTTGTCCATCACTCGTTTGATCTGGTTTCGGACCACCTTTCTCGTGCACACCGCCCCCTTCCTCGGGGGGTCCTCCTCCGTGTTTGGCCTGCGCTGCACCCACGTTTGGTTCTGACCCAGGACCGCGACGTGCTCCGAGGTGGTTCTGGGTGTCCTCGGGCCTCTCAGAGACGTGGTACAGCTCAGGCCTCTGTGGGGGATCTCGGCGGAGAAGATGAGTCCGTTCAGGGGTCCGTTGAGGGCTCCCTCCCTCAGGTCCCGCTGACTCTGCGAGCTCCTGTGTCTGTTGATGTAGCTGAAGCTGTGCTGGGCGTCCGAGCCCAGCCAGCCGGAGGAGTGGAGGTCTCTCTTTCGGTAGGTGCTGTAGTCCCACGCCCTCCCCTCGCCGTCCTCCACGCACACCACAACAGGCACCTCACAGTCGGGCCTTTCAGCCAGCAGAGCGGGGACTGGGGTCGGAGGGGGTCCCACTAAAGGCCCGTACTTCCCGGTGGATGTCGTGTCATCCTTCACCTTCTGAAGGCTCGCCTTGCCGCTGTGGTTCTTCGTGACGCTGTCGTACAAAGTGGTGGAAGAGCCGTCCCCTCCTCCCTCCTCCGGCTGTGTGTTGGGGTCTCCATGTTTGGCCTTGTCCCACCTGGCGGGAGCGTGCTCCTTCTGCTTCCCCAGACTCCCTGGCAGGATGTGGTGCCCCCTCAGCACCACCGGCAGCATCCCGATGCCGTTGCATCGAAGCTCCCCTTTCTTGGCTCGCTCCTTCCCTTGGATGGAGAAGAACCCGATCCCCTTGGCCCTCCCCAGCGGGGTCAGGGCGTCGCGGGCCTCAGAGTTGGATTTGCGCGGCCCGTTGAGGCCCAGGTCACCGCCGCCGCCGTGCTGAGCTTTCAGACTGTTGCGCAGCCACGGGATGAAGTGAGGGGCGTGCGGCTTGAAACCCCTCTGCTCCCCGGGCGTCGTGGCGTGGCTGTCCGAGAACATTTTGATGGGCGACGTCCGGCAGCCTCAGAAACCGAAGAGGAGCCGGAGGACTCCTGAGACTCGAGCAGCTTCCTCCTCTTCTTCCATGAACCTCCTCCTACCTTTGCCATTAACAGAAGCTTTATCTGCTCTGATGTTTGCTCCTCTGTTTCTCCAGGAAAAACTTTTCTTTTTTTTCAGTCAGCCCCCCACCTTCACCACTCTACTCCTCAGTTTGGGCCCACCCTCTTCCCTGTTTATGATTTCATCGCCCAGCCTCTTTTCGTTCCTCTATGTTTCAGCCTCTCCTCCCACTGATCCCTCCGTTGTTTTTTGCTCCTGAGCCCCCTCACCCTCTCCCTGGGTTGAGTCTCGGAGATGCCAGGGGCCCCTTTCGCTCCATCTTCCCTCTCCGCCTGCCTGCATCTCACTGGCACAGAGTAGCAGCAGAGGCTTCCTGTCTCTCCATCCCTCTCTCCCTCTCTCTCTCTCTTCCCCCCTCCCCTCCTGAACTGCACTGCGCTGCCTTCTTTCCTCACTCTTTCTTCCTCCCACTCTCTCTCTCTCTCTCTCTCTCTGCTCTGTTTCCCTATCTCTGCCTCCTCTCTGTTCTTATCTGAGAAGCCCTTATCGTCCTTGCAACTCTCTCGTTTTCTTTCCCTCCCTTCTGCCTGTGTCACTGTTTTTGCCTCCCCTCCCCGACAACTCCACCTCAGATTTAACCAGGGAGGGAGAACAGGCTGAAGTTCAATCAAGTCGGCAGAATTATTAATCCCCGGATAGTGAATGTGTACCCATGTGACTGCCCCCACCTCTGTTCTCATCTGATTACTCCTTTCCCCCGGCTCAGCCCCTCACAATTAAATGCTGCTCAGAGGGGAGGATGGTGGCAGCAGGAAGGGATGGAGGAGAAATGGAAGGGGGCACATAATTGTGACCTTTACCATGAGGGATCAGCACCAGCTTGACAGAAAGCAGAAACTACGAGCAACAGCCTGCCTGTGGTTTCCTCTTGTTGTTTCCCTGCTTTTATTTATTTTTTTCTTACATCCAGCCATGCGTTCAAATCAGATGCTGTTTTCTGCCTTTTTTTAATTTAGATTCCAACAACTTTTGCATTTTAGTCATTATGTTGATATAGAAATATTTAACTTTATTTACAAATATTTTCCCTACAAAAACACATTTGTGATCTATTCTTGTCCTATTATGATAGTTTAGCTACCATTTTTCTACTTTTAGCTACTATTCTCTTTTAGAATTAAACAGTCTTTTGCTTTTTTAACTTCTGGTATTTTACTTTTAGCTTCTAGAAAATTGTTCCTTATAGTTTCAACTAGCATTATGCTACTTTTGCTTTCTTGTTGTGACAATGAGATAGCCTTTTACTACTTTTGGCATATAGCTAGCAAATATGTAGCCTGGCCCTTGCCTTCCTACACAGTTCTGCTCAGTTCTAGTTTCCCATCACTGCTCCATCTGGGTTTGCTCCCATGAGTTTCTCCGGTAGAATTTAAACCGGGCCAGTCAGAAAACAGAAGAAGGAGTTGTGAACAGAAATGATTTTCTGTGCTGTTTTAGTCTGCCTGTAGTTTAGCAATGGCAGCGGTGGAAGTGAATGAAACCAAGACAAGACTTCCAAATTAAATTAAATTAGTCACAAAGCCTGCAGCACTTATTCACAGCCATCTGGTTCTGCTCGGTACTTCTCTCTTCCCAATAGGGGATGGTTGTTTACAGCACATGCAATTTCCAGTTAGCTCCTTAGCTTAGTGTCCTTCACAGTCGAGCTGGTGCACCGCATATGTCATGGCCAAACATTAGCGATTGGGTGAATCAGATCCAATCGTTTTTAACTTCACCAGAGGCCACGCCTCCAGCAAAAAAAAAAAATCACTTCTCAGTAGTTGAAGAGGTTCCAGACCCTGACCCTCTGTACAAACAAAGTGAAGGACAAGGGGATTGGTTTTTACTAAGCCAGCAAATATGGATACAAATAGCTAGTAGCTGATCAAGCCTATTGTTAGGCGACGGCCCTCTTTCGCATGTGAATAACCTGTTTGTCCAGGTGGAGGCAGTGCTTATAAGGCTGAGTTCACCTGAAACTCATCAGACTGAAGAAATCTCTTGGATGAGAGACAAAACGTTTCACTAAAGAAGAACCCATCCAAAGGACCTACTTATTTTTTTCTTGATAGCTAGTAGCTACTTTGCTACTTCTACCTAGCATTTTGCTACTTATAGCTTCCAGTTACCATTTTTATACTTCAGCTAGTATTTAACTACATTAAGCTGGCACTTTACCACGTCTAGCTAGCATTTTGCTACAATTACCTAATGTATATATAGCTATTTAAAGCATTTAGCTATTTTTTAGCCTCTTTTAAGCATTATGCTAGTTTTGCTTCTAGTTAGCTTTTTGGATTTTTAGCAAGCTTTTCACTTCTTTTATTACTTTGCTACTTCTAGCTAGCTTTAATCTAGCCAGTACTTTGCTACTTCTGGCTAGCGTTTTGCTACATTTACCTGGCATTTTGCAATTTTTACTTCTAGTTGTCTTTTTGTGACTTTTAGCTAGCGTATTACTATTTTTTAGCCTATAGCAAACATTTTGTTTCATTCAGCCAGCACTTTCTAGCAAGTGTTTTCATAACATTTACTTAGCCCTTTGCAACATCTAGCTAGCATTTTGCTACTTTTACTTTTTAATCTAGTGTTACGCTTATTTTAGCGTTAACTCGTTTTCAGCATCCTCGACAAATTTCCGCAAAGTCACTCAGCTCTCTGAGGTCACGCTGCATTTTTCATAGAAATGTGAATTTCTCTAGTTTTCTTGGCTGTTTGGATCAGATTTCATGTGTGAAATATGCCTCCTAGGTGCTTTTCTTTTCCACTCAGCTGCTGCTGCATTGGTGGGTACCTCCCTCCCTGGCAGCGTCTTAAATGAAAAAACCCCAGCAGAGCCACACAAAAAGCCCTGACAGTTTGCTGTCACTCAGCACCGAGACACTCAAAGCATCTGCCACGCTGTTACGCAGCAGAGCAATCTGCTCCTCAGGTAGTGCCCCTCTTAAAATATGACTTCATTCACTGATACATCATACATGGCAGGAAAGAAGATATAGACACAGGTTTGGTTTAGTCTGCAGGCTAAGAAGATCTGCCTGCATGTCGACAGACTGCAGTGACCATTAGTCTGGATTAGAAGACAAAAAAAAAAGAGAGAAAAACAAACCAATATAGAGTGCAACTATAATAAAGCACCCTCTGTTATTCTTTTTGAGCTTTGCAACATGCTGGGTCACACAATCTTCTGTTTCTATGTCTCAGCAGGAAATTCCTTTGTGTTTAACATGTAGCTTTAAAAATATTGTGTTTTATGAACATACACCCACATAATATTGATTTAACACAGAATTATTCTTTCAGTAATTGTTAATCATTCATTTAAGTTGGTGTTTATTGAACATAAACAGTGAAGCAGAGACTATTAACTTTGCAGATTCTTTTCTTTTTTTTAAAAAAATCCAAAGGGATTTGCAAACTGACTCTTTAAGTCCTTTATGTTTTTAACTATTGTTTCATTTTCCCATAGCCAAAGGTCAACAAAATTGTTTAAAAAAATGTATTAAAGTTATTGGAATAAATTGTCAGAAATTAACTCTGGGTTTTAAATTTTTTGATATAATTAAAAATGTAAAGATTGTTATTAATGTAAGTCACATTTCTTGATGAAATGCCCATCGTCTGACACACTGTATTGCATGTCAAAGTTTTAAATACATCTGCCACGTAAATTATTAGTTCTTAAAGTATGGGTTGGGAATTACTCTAAAAAATACCAAAGATAAAACTTTAGCTTGTTTTAATAAGTGGATGCTGCTTTAAATCAGATTTATAAAACTCAATACATTGAAAATGGACTTTAAACTTATGCAGAACTAATGTATTTCTTTTCATTTTATTGATTCTTTAATTTTTTTGTATTTTTTTAATTATTAATAAATCTTTACCAATATATCTGGAAATACCAGTGGAAGGCACAGTTCCACTAATCTACTAATAGCAGAACTAGCTTCTCCTATAGAGCAGTGTTTCCCAAAGTTGGGGTCGGGACCCAAAGTGGGGTCCTGAAACATCAAGGTGGGGTCCTGAAAAGATTTTCTGAATTAATTACATTTTTGCCTTAGTTGTTACAAAGGAGTCAGGTTAGTATATTTAAAATGGATAAATGTAGTATAAAAATATTGTTACTATGCCCATGTTTAGTTGACCTGATACAAATGTTCATCATCCAAAAATAGTTGGGGGCACAGGTCTCTGCTACTGCTTTTTTGTGGGTCAAAAGCTGAAAGGTTTGGGAACCACTGCACTTTGGTTCCCAAAGTTGGGCTTGGGACCTAATTATGGGTCATGAAGCACCTTGGATAATCTCCAGAAATCAGTTTAAAGGGTAATAAAATAATTGCTGATGTAATATTTTCCCTATAACTATTACAAAAACACACAAAAAAGTATAAATATTTATAATTGTGTATAAGCTGTTTAGATTGTCAAAAAGCCTGTGTTTTTAGGGTTATTAATGAAGTTCATGTAGACCAGTAATATTTGGGGTCACAAGTTTTTGCCATGAATATTTTGTGGGTCAGAAGATAAAAAGTTTGGGAACCACTGCTATAGAGGATAAGCTTTTATTTTATTTTTTGCTAACTTTGGAAACTGTTAGTAGACCAGTTAGCTTTCCCACAGCTGTCCTGGGGCACACTGACAGAGGCGGGGCTGCCATGCGCTGGCACCACCATCAGTAGGTAATTTAGTATTAGCGGAGCTAAAATTCGGTTAGTGAAGCTAACTTTTTGGTTAGCCGTGCCCAACACTGGGAAATACACATCTGACATCCTATTGGGTGCTGCAGAACCCCTCGCACCTCTACTTCCCACAACTTTGGTTGATGATCAGCTGAAAGAAAATAAATCTCTCAGGTCCTACTTTAAGTCTTTGCTGTGTTTTTTTCCTCTCTATATCTTAAAACCTTTTTTCCCCCAAAATTTATTTTTAATAAAAAAAAAAAAACAGTATTTTTAAGCATGAATTTCTTCTCCTGCCCTCCACTCTTCTTATTTTTTTTCTAAAGCACTTGCTGCACAATATGCCCTAGTAGTCAGATATAATGACTGAAAATGAGTGGAAAAAAGGAGCCAAAGTTCAAAGCAAAACCTTCAGAAAGCCTGAAGATTTGTTGACCAAAACCACTTTTAAACAACTGAAAAAACATTTGGCTCCTGTTAAGGAAATTTGCGTTTGGACGATTCGTTCTTTGTTGTAACAATGCTTCTTTGTAATAAATCTTACGTAGTTGGAAAGCCTGTTAATTTCTCTTTAAATGATGCCACATTTGTTAGGAAAATGCTGCGCCTGTGAAAACGTTGCCAAATCTTCTCTGCCATTGCCAATATAATTTTAGCCACAACAGTGGCCCCAGTAGCATGTGGAAGAACCATACACAGCCACATTAGCCTTTTCAGAGTATAAGATTTGTTACAACAAAGAAACATCAATAATCAACCAAACACAAATTTCTTACTTTTCTGCTATATTTATATAGATAAGGAATATGTTGCATAATGTTATACAGGGGTGTTCAAATACCAGCTTTTCTCAAATTGAGCATGAGTACAAGTACTTTAGTTTGGGTACTCACTGATACCACATACCAATACTGCGAACTTACTGAGTCAGAACTTAAACAATTCTCAATGGACTTTAAAAACACTGTTTTTAATTTAGAACAAGGTGGCTCTCCTTCTTTATAGATCTACAGCCCTGAATACTACAGCCCTACAGCTCTGATTGGATCAAATCAAATATACAGCATTATGTACACTGTTTTTAAAACAATTTTCATCTTGAAGAACTTTCCTAAACCTAAAGCTGACAAACTTGTCACTTCAGATGTAAACTGTAAAACATTAAATGAAGTACTGATATGTGTAACGATATCGGTTCCTGGTACCAGGGCACTTTGTGTGAGT